CTATTGTGCCGATAGACAGCAAAATTTAGTGGCTGCGCCAGGTGGCAGGCAATTGGCTATTGACTTCAGCTGATTCTGAATATTGTTTGCTTTCTTTGAAGCTCGAAACAGATTATCTATATATCTATATATATACATTGATTACGTGTTATAAAGAATGATCCTTAACAAGTTTATAGAATGCGCTTCGGATGCAAACAAAGAAAAACTAGTTGCGCTAAGAATTGTATATGAAATGTAAATAAGTAAAATAATTAGTAAACTAAGCATATCATTTTAAAATTGAATTTGTATATAAAAATATTACTCTAAAAAAGAGTTAAGACTTTTTCCTATATATAAAGAACTGCCTGTTTTCTTGGACTTTACCTTACGATTTTATATTTTCTTGTCTGTTTTTCTGCTGCTTCTTTCTTCCCCAAGCTGACCAACTTATGTCTTTAGCTCTGCCATATCTTAATAAATATATAATATTTAAAGCACTCTAATACCAATCACTTAATATACACATATATACACTATATATATATATATATTCTTTCAGGTTCTAGACAACTTTTGAAATGGTCTTTTCATTAGATGCTGCCACAATATTGCGAATAGACTCGTTGCATTTATTTTGGCCTCAAGAGAAAGCAGTTTTTTTTCTATTGCAGCAACAACTGTAACTGCAACACACACCAATACACACACACACACACATACACAGAGACACACGATCGCTGCGCATGCGCAACTCGGGTTTTATTTTTTGCAGCGGCGTCTAGAATGCAATTTCTGTTTCTCTAGCGAAACGTTTGCCGTGCGCTTCTCACTGTCTATGTGTGTGTTTGAACTTTGAAAAGTGGGTGAATGTACAGTAATGTTTGCTGCATGCTGAATGCAACGCTGACGCCGTTGCCGCTGCCGCTACAGCTGCCGCTGCTGCTGTTGCTAAACAAAAAACGTGGCAAATTCGTGATGCACAAAGCGCTGCTGGCCCGCAGAATTGGGCAGCATTAGGCGCAGGCAACTTAGAATGCATTAGTTGGGCTCTCGACGCCAGCAAAAGGCTGACCCAAAGCAAAGCAGGCCTTAACAATATACGCTTTATTTTATATATAAATAATTGATGCTTATATCAGAATGAATGCTTATATTATTATTATATGGTTTTAAGCATGCTTATCAGCTCATGTTTAATGCATTGAAGGCCACGCCGTTTCATAAATTGGCACACTTATGCAAAGTCAACGACTCACGCACATACTTACAAATTCACTCACACGCACGCACACATTGACAGCGGCTAGTCAAAGTCGTCGTCGTCGTCGTCGTCGTCTGGCAGGCAATCGCTTAACGCGAGGCCGAAGAAAAACAGTTAACTTGTTTCGCGCGCTGAGCCGAAAGCAAAGCTGCGCTCACCATGGCGCTCAGCTCTATGTGAGTGCCTGTCTATGTGTGTGTGAGTGTGTGTGTGTGTTGCGTTGCATAACTTTCATGCCAACGCAGCCAGCGACGACTCGCCTCAAAGTTCATTCGCCTCGTGCACTCCATTCGCCTGCGCTTACCTCGCTCTCTCTCTCTCTTTCACTCTTTGTTCACTCTTTGCCCAACACTATTCACCCGGCACCCGCTGCCTGCTGGCTCTCTGCAGCTAACTGCTTCTTGGGCTTTTTCTTTTTGACTTAAATCTGTTGTTGTTGTTGTATCGATTGCTTTTCTCTTTTTTATTTTCAGAGCTTGGCTTTCGTTTGGTTTTCTTTGGCTCATCGCGCTGCCTGAAAACTTTGCGTGTTGTTGTTTTGGGTCTCTTGAAAAGGAATGTTTGCTGTTGTCGTTGTTGTTGTTGTTGTTGTTGCTGGCGACGTTTTTGGGTGAATGCGTTTTTATTTTGTATCTGTCGGATACGTGTGCGTAAGTGTGTGTCGCATCTGGGAAACACACATAAGATCTGTGCAGCATTGTTTAAGGTCAGTTCTCTTACCTAACTTTGATTGCATTTCATTTTTTTGTTTGTTTTTTGTTTGTTGGCCAACAATTTTTTGGGTAAAGAGTCGGATTTTTGTTTAATTACTTACGATGAGTTCGGTGACCGACAGTTAAGCACTTCTGATGATGTGCCACAAAGTGCCGTAAACTATGATTGCATTTAGAGGTGAGAAGTTCAAATAATACTTAAGTGTCTAGGGTTATGTTTTGGTCATCCGGAAAAGACGTTGTGTTAGAAAGGAGCGCATTTGACGAATGATAAAAGCATAAGAAACTATTCTAAAATGAGATAATTTTACATGCTCAGGCATATTTGTAGCCCATTTTAAATACACATGCATATGCATGTAAGCCATGAGCTGTATTTTATATAGTAAAAAGCTTTGATCGCTATGTAATCAACATATGCAAAAACATTTGCATTTACAACCGAATTCTCTGAATGATTATTGAAATATTAATGCATTTTTATGTTTACAGTTCGAAATACACAATTGAACAATTTCAATCAATTTTCTATGCCCACGCTCTGCACTGCACGAGCACACATGCAAAAGCTCAAAATGCTTAGAACAAAAATGCATGCAAGTCCCATACAAGCGCACGAGCTAGCAAAAGCGACTGCCAACAACAATAAGAACAACAACAAGCAGCAGTGCAAATTGTGACGCCCCACCATGCAAACATACTCACACGTACACACACACACATAGAGCGAGAGCGAGAGCGAGAGAGGCAGCCCCCACGCTGTGAGCGGCTGAGCAGCGCGATGGCCGCGACAGCGACATTCAACTTGAACTTTTTGCGCACTGGCGCGCTCTCTCTCGCTCGCGTGTGCTCATTGGCTTCGGCTGCTCGTTGCATAGAAAATAATCAAGATCAAGTTTCTTCCGGCATTTTTGCACAAAAACAAAAACTAGAGCTTTTTGTGTTGTTGCTGCCGCTACATAAAGAGCACAAGAGAGCGCACAATAGTTAAGAGCACGCCAATGCAGTAGCTTTTGCATAAGTTGAGTGTGTGAAAGAGAATGCACGTGTGTGTGTTGCTCGCTTGCCAGTGTGCTTTATGGCAAGTGCATTTGTGTGTTTGTCAGTCAATCTGTTATGATGTCACTGCCAGCGCCGCCTCCGCCCCTCCTCCATGTTTTTATGGGTTCAGCTGCAAGCTTTTGCATATGCGCTGAAAATGTTTCAATTGTATGCATTTTGTTTTTATGGCGTTTTACAAAAGTTTTCCATTTTTTGCCCAAAACGCAACCAACTAATTTTCACTCGCTCGTTGGAAAGCGCGTCTTCCTCAATCGATGGCAACAAACTATGTATGCTATATTGTGTGTGCGCGATTCTTGGAAACCGACGAAAACGTAGCAGCGCGAACAACAAGTTGCCACAGCAGCAGCAGCAGCAACAACAACAACATGTGCAACACAGTAGCGCCAGCAGCCGTGGCTGTGGCAGTGGCAGTGGCAGTGGCAGCGTCATCGTTGCAAGCATTGAACTCGATTTTGTTTTCATTGCCGCTGAATTTCTAAAACGCAGCTAATTAGTCGAGAGTGTTTGTGTTGTTGTTGGCTACGCAGCTCGTCGCTTCTTTAGCTGTGTTCCACTTTTCTGGCAGTTTTCCACTTTTCCTCAGTCGCCGCAGCAGATTTCACACGCGGCCATGCAATTCATCATAAAAATTATTGTAAACTGCAGTCAATTGGCCAGGCGAGCAAGAAGAAGAAGAAGAAGACGAAGAAGTAGTAGCAGCAGCCATTGCACCAGTGGGCCAGAGGGTGGAGCAACAGTTGGCCAAGAGGGGCCGGGGGGCTGTTGGTAGATGTTTGCTTACAAAAAACCAAATGAAAATAAGTTTTTCCAAGTCGCCCAAGCCGCGCCTTGTGTGTTTGTTTTAATAAAATGAAAGTTTTTGCGCGCCAATCTTTGACACACATAGAAGGCATCGAGTCAGTCAGTCAGTCAGCCAGTCAGTCAGTCAATTGGCTAGTCAATCAGCCAGTCAGTTAGCCAGTCAGACGTGGAAGCAGACTTTGCTTACCGGCTGCCAGCCTGCAAAACTATGCAACGGTCGTTGCCGTTTCGTTTTTCGTTGTGATTTCATTTTCTAATGTTGTCGCTGGCGTCGTATGCGATATTGTTTTCTACTTGCGCTGGATTCATTTTTCGTCTGGGCCATAGATGGGCATATGAAAAGTAAGAAAAGCGCAGCAAAATCAAATCACGCATACGTCGCGTATGACGGGAGCCGGCTGTTAAAAGTGAAAAATAGTCACAGCGCCTAGCACACAAAAAGTGTGCGTATGCGTGTGTGTGTGTGTGCGTAGCTGTGTGAGCAACGAATTGTTGAAAAGTAAAAGAGAGTCGCAGCTAGCAGCGAAAGGGAGCACAAGCTTACGCAGCGCCAGTAGCTGAAGGGGGAGCGGTAGCGGGAGCAGCTGATGGAAATAACGCTTCACTTTTTTTCGGCAGTTCAACAAACTTTACGGGCAACAGCTTAGAAAGAACTTGGGTCAATAAACTATGGAAGCCACAGTGATGATCTGCTGCGGCTGTGGATGATGATGATGATGATGATGATGTCGGTAATGGCGCTTGCTGCCGTGGCTATAGTTAGATATACACGCATATATAAAACAATCGACGCAAGAGGTCAATGGCAGACGCACTCGAATCTCCTATGAATGTTAAGAGCAGCATTGTAATGAAATTGCTTGACGAACAAAAAGTTGAAGGCAGCATGGCCACCACTTAAAATTTACAATGTATTTACACACGCATATCTATAAAATCTACAAAGAAAAGCTTTTCTCAAATCGTTGAATTGATAATGCTTGACTTTAGCATTTGTGTTCAGCATTTACTGATTTAATTTTTGTGGTCGTCATTCAAAATTAACGGTCACGTTTATGCTACTAGCGCCACCTAGTTTACATATGTGCAAGTCATGGCCAGCATCGATATATGTAGCATTGCAGCTCTGTGATATCGACAAGCCGCCATATTGAACGATAAGTTTTTGTGGGCTTAGAATCGATACACACAGCTAGCTGCGCACACAAATCGCCAGAAGTAAATAACAAAACGCATCTAAACAGCAAAAAATGAGTTCCCCAACGAGTAAGAATGCTAGTGAAACGAACAATAGTAGCAACAAGCCAAAGAAGTCGGCCAAAACGAATTCCAATGGCAAGGGCGGCACCATGGACACGCGCGGAGAATTGGCGGATCTAATCAAGAAGAAGGCAGAAACTTCGGTAACAAACAATCATTGCAACAAATACAACATTACACCATATACAACACAATCAACAGGAACAACTGGCCAACCTAGAGCGACAGATTTACGCCTTCGAGGGCTCCTACCTGGAGGACACACAGCTCTGTGGCAACATCATACGCGGCTGGGAGCGCTACCTCACCTCCAACAAGGCCACCAACTCGAAGGCGGACAAACGCAATCGCAAATTCAAAGATGCTGAGCGCCTCTTCTCCAAGTCCAGCATTACCTCAATGGCCATATGCAATCGTGAGTAGCCAGCAGCAAGTTCAGTGCGAGCTTTAGTAAACATTTGCAATAAACACAGCTGAGCGCGCCAGCGAATCGGATTCCATAACGAATGAAGACTCCAGCGACAATCAGATCTCAATTAACCAGAACACAACAACTGCTCACGATGGGGCTACATCAATTAAGACGCAGGATGAAAAGGGTAAGGCGTGGCAAGACGAGGTGGGCGAGATCAGTGTGACGGATTGAAGATGATGAGCAAGAAGTTTGAACGTGTGCTGTGATATGTGTCGGTGCTTTAACTGAATGTCAAGAAAATTGATGAAGCCTTTATAACTATAAGTTAACTTAAGAAGTGAACTAACAGGTTTAGCATGTTATTTGATCCAGCGACTCAAATTAATGTCTTAATGGAACTTTGCAGATTCGCCGTCCCATCGAAACGAGTCGGGAAGCGTTGTCGGCTCAAGCAGCAGCAACAAGGATCTACCCGGCACGCCCACCACCAACACAAAAAGCAAATTATCATCTAGCTCCAGTGCGACGGCAAAGAAGAGCGGACACATTAATAAGAAAATACGGCATCGATAATGAGCCCAATCCAAAGCTTGGGCTATCGTCGATCGCTCAAAAAAAAAAAAGGGTTTTAATCGTGTTTTAGCGTCTCTTTTGTACATTTAAATGATTAACTTAAATTAATCAACGATCGCTCTTTTTATTACAAAAAAAATTCATAATATGCATTAAATTTAGGCTACATGTAACCACATGTCTATGTATAATAAAGTAAAATTAACTATATATAATACGGCAACAGAATTCAAGGTGAATGTCCTATTTCTTTCCTTTGGCCATTCGATCAAAGATGCCCAACAGTTTGCCGCGTGTCATTTCCTTGGACTCGCGCAGGCCTAGTTGATAGATTTCATCATGCATGGACTTAATCTTATCTATCAATTGCTCTGGTGTTAGGCTGGCCAGCTCTGGAAAGGTTCAAATATTGTTAAAGCCCGCAGGTTGCTGGAAGAATTCCCAATTCCGCTTACGGTTCATCCTTGCCATGTCCGCGCTGTTAAAGTTTTGTGTACATTCGGCGTTTGGTGTGTGTATCGGTGTTTGGCTCATGGTCAGAAAGTCATCCATGCCAGGAAAGCGCTCTGGCCACTGCACCGGTGATTCACGCAGTGTTTCCATTGATATTAGCTCATCCTCTTTGGCGCTCAGCACCTTATTGCTGCTGGCATTGCCCGTCGTCCCCGCTGCGTTGGTGTCCGTTTCCGACTTCAGAACAGTCTCTGGAGAGAACATTTCAACCCCCGGTTCCATATTGTTCATTATTGCACAGATGTGGTGTAAACGTATTAAATTCAGTTAAATGAATTAAATAAATTAATTAAAAAGGCGTTTGTATTATTAAACCGAGCAATGTGACCGCATTTCCCCAAGTTGCGGAGTTTTCTGTTAAATTGTGGTTCTAAATGAACTTCGATAGCACTAGTTCAGAATGGAAGAGTATCGATATCGCTATCAAACAGCACGATTTGTTTGAAAAACTGTGCTCATTTTTAATTATTTGAACAATACTGATAATGCTATAGTTATTTGTGATGTAGCGCTATTAATATAGCCCCTGATGATATGGCCATGTTTATATCGTATTGGAGTTTTAGAATAAATCGTTTAACGATGCAGCAGCTATCGATAGAGCAATCAGAATCCTAAACACTAGCCAACACTGCTCTAATCGAGGCTATCACAAATATTTCATTTTAATTCTTCCGTTTTGTTTAACGAAATCTGCGCTGGAAAGAAACTATAAGAGGCCAGCAGCAGACTCAGGCATAGAAAGACCACAAAAACAAGTTCAGCCATGGGCACGTCATCGGTCCTTCTAATTTGTTTATGTCTGCTCTTCAGTAGCTGCTACGTGTCGGTGTCAGCCGATGAGCACAATCATAAGGTATATTTGTATATGTGTCTGTATGCATGCATCTGTAGTGTAGGTGGCACACTTCGTACAAGATCTAAACATAAAACAATACTTGCAGTATAATGATCGAGAGGAGGTGGTGTTATGGATGAATACGGTTGGTCCGTATCATAACCGGCAGGAAACCTATGCCTACTTTTCGCTGCCGTTCTGCAGCGGTACCAAATCGAGCATATCGCACTACCATGAAACACTCAGCGAGGCGCTCCAGGGAGTTGAGCTAGAGTTTAGCGGCTACGAGATGGACTTTAAGACGGATGTTCCGCGTACGGTCATTTGTATGGTTAAGCTAACCGAGGAGAATGTGAAGGCGTTTAAATATGCTGTGATGAACGAGTATTGGTATCAGATGTATATCGATGGTCTACCCATATGGGGCAAGGTCGGTGAGCGGGATGAAAACGATGGCAAGTATTACATACACACGCACAAGAAATTCGATATTGGCTATAATGGCCAGCAGATTGTGGATATAACGCTAACAACGGAAATGCGCGAGGAACTGAAAACGGATGCCAAAATCAAGTTCTCCTACGAGGTCAATTGGAAGCCCACAAAGATTGAATTTAAGAATCGCTTTGACAAGTACCTGGATCCAAATTTTTTCCAGCACAGGGTATCTATGCCTGCTCATACTTCTATTGGCCATAGCTAATTAGTACAATTTATTTGCACTCAGATACATTGGTTCAGCATCTTTAATAGCTTCATGATGGTCATTTTCCTGGTGGGCCTGGTTTCTATGATATTGATGCGTACGCTGCGCAAGGATTATGCACGCTACAGCAAGGATGAGGAGGTGGATGACATGGAACGAGACTTGGGCGATGAATACGGCTGGAAACAGGTGCATGGCGATGTTTTTCGCACACCACCAAATTCCCTTCTTTTCTCGGCACTCATCGGTGCCGGCTATCAGCTCATCTCAGTTGTCTTTTGTGTCATCATGTTTGCAATTGTCGGCGAACTGTATACAGAGTAAGTGAACAGCTGAACTAACATTGACAAATAGTTTATATCACTCTTGCTTCATAGACGTGGCTCAATGCTATCTACGGCCATATTTGTATATGCAGCTACATCTCCTATTAATGGATATTTCGGTGGCTCACTGTATGCTCGACTGGGCGGTCGTTTGTGGATACGTCAGATGCTCGCTTCCGCTTTTACGGTGCCTGTCGCCGTTTGTGGAACTGCGTTCTTTATTAACTTTATTGCCATTGGCTATCATGCATCGCGCGCCATACCCTTTGGCACAATGGTTGCAGTTACCTGCATTTGCCTGTTTGTCATCTTGCCACTGACTCTCGTTGGCACCGTGGTGGGGCGTAATTTGGATGGCCAGCCGGATTTCCCTTGTCGCGTTAACGCTGTACCCAGGCCCATTCCCGAAAAGAAATGGTATATGGAACCGTTGATTATTGTGCTGCTGGGCGGTGTGCTACCATTTGGTTCCATTTTCATTGAAATGTATGTGATCAATTTAATTGTTTATTGCTGGAGCTTATCTCTTAATACTTTCTGCTCTCTCTCTTTTGATGTACAGGTACTTTATCTTCACCTCGTTCTGGGCGTATAAAATCTATTATGTCTATGGCTTTATGTTGCTCGTGTTTTCCATTTTGACTGTGGTCACCGTTTGCGTTACCATTGTGTGCACATATTTCCTGCTGAATGCCGAGGATTATCGGTGGCAATGGACGAGCTTTATGGCAGCTGGCTCCACGTCCATTTACGTATACGCCTATTCCTTTTACTACTTCTTTTTTAAGACCAAGTACGTACATTTAAGCATTGTCATTGTTAACATCTTTAATTCATATCACTTTGTTTTTGCAGAATGTTTGGACTATTCCAAACAGCTTTCTATTTTGGCTACATGGCACTGTTCAGCGGGGCTTTGGGCATTATCTGCGGAACCGTTGGCTATGTGGGCACGAATCTCTTCGTGCGTAAAATCTATTCCAATGTGAAAATAGACTAAATTCGTGCGGCTGTAGAGTTCAATTGAAACCATTTACAAATGTATTTATTTTGTAGTCCTTTAGTTCACCCACTTGTGTTTATATATATTCATTTTGCTCTTTATCAATGCTCTTACAATTTTCTCATATTGGTGTGGATTTAAAATGAATGAATTAACCAAGTCAAAGAGCTCACACCAATGATAACATAACAGCCGAAACGTCGCCCCTGATCTGATCTATGTATATATAAATATATGGAACATATACTGTGTATTTGTATGTATATGTGTATTATGTATGTGTTTATGCGTGTGTGCAGCATATATATATACATATATATATATATATTGTAATATCAAATATGCCTAGAAACTTATCGAAAATCTATGCAATTGCAAATGTGACTTCAAATATTTTGCGCCAATTAAGTTTATATACATTGCAGAAATGTGCTGATTAGCAATAGTCGATAATATTAAATAAATAAAATCAACATATAAAAAATGAAGTCCATAAAGTCATTAGGGCCAGCGAACGATTTAATCGAACTAACCTCTTAAGATCTCTTATCGAAACATGATTATTGCATGTTTTCTATTTCGACTGGGTATTCGAAGAGCTTTATTGGCTAATTGAAACGTGTTCGTATTTATCAAAGGGAACCAATGCGTAAGTGAATTGCGCACTCATCGAGACTAATAATTTTGCAAGTCGGTTGATTAGCTTGAAAGCAGTCTATCATCCATAGGAAAAATCCATTCCAACGGCTACGACAGTTGCTTCCGTACTTAAGCCTACAATCTTTTGTCTTTTTTTTTCTTTTGGAATTTCTGCAGTACTTATAGATGTACTCAAACACAGCACCGTGCCGCAGCTCAATGGGGTTTATTTAGAGAGGTGCCACTCAAGATAGACTATGTTGTGCCTGGCATACGGTATGCTTGTAACTGATATGACACATACACACATATATATGTATGTGGCAGAACATTTGAATAGGCGACTCATTAAATTCGGGGCGCGAACATGTTTGCATTAATTTATGCTAATGAAAAGTGCGTTTGGGTTTTCGTGTTGGCTTTTCCTCTCTACCTTCGAAATACATATGTATGTGTATTAGATAACGGTTAACGCTTGAAGACCTGAGGAAAAGTGTCTGCTCAATCAATTTCATTCACAATCAATGACATCAAGCCCACCAGGTTCTAAAATCAAGATCTCTTCGCTAGGGTATTATTATTTATTTTATTTTATTTTTTTTCCCTCATGCCCGTACTGTAATAAACATCAAGTCAGCAACAAATTTTATGGACTGATTGACACGAAACGAGTGACATGGCTCAAGAATAGAAGCGACCGAATTTGAGCCACAGCATGGGCATGTTTTCCGACATAAACAACCATAGATGTCAAGATGCTGGCGATGGCACAACCCACTGTATATCAGTTTCCCTCTCTCTGGCTGACTAACTAGTTCTTTTAAGTATGTTTAACGATTATCTTATGCGAGAACAGTTATGGGCCAGCAGCCCACCTGGATAATACGTTTTGGGTCTCTCCACACATTTCACTCATTTATATGCACATGAAAATGTTTGGAAACCGATTTCCACTCGCATCGAATATCATTAAGAATAGCTCTGAAAATTCTTTAGACCCCAGCTCTCGGTATAAATACCAATGATTTGATCTTGCCTCAAGTCAGTCTGCAGATGCTGTTGGAATAGACCATACTGAGAGATCATGGCATCGCATAGCCTTCTGGCTGCTCTGCTGCTGGGTAGGTTACGAGGACGCTTTGTTTAATAATCATCCAAGTGAAGTATTTCCAAATCTTAAAGGTATTTGCTCCACGACCAGCGCCTCGTTGTTGAACTGTAATTGTGAACCGGGTCCTCGAGGACCACCGGGACCGCCAGGACCTCCAGGTGCTGGCTTTGGTAGTGTTGGTGGAGTTGGTGGTGGTGGCGTTGGTGTAGGTGGTGGTGGTGGCCTATGGGGCTATCCACCTATGCCACCATTTAATCCCAACATTCAGCCTATAATTGGTCCTAGAGGCTTGCCTGGACCGCCGGGACCGCCGGGCTACTGCTTCCCCTGCCCATATAGTGGTTATGGACCACGACCAGGAATGGGACCTGGAGTCGGGCCAGGAATCGGACCAGGATTTGGACCAGGATTCGGACCAGGATTTGGACCAGGATTCGGACCAGGTTTTGGACCAGGTGGGGGAGGAGGAGGAGGAGGAGGCGGCGGAGCTTTCGGTCAGGGCATATCCTCCGCTATTGGCAATCTTATAATCATACCATCCGGCGTTAATGGACGCGCCCAGCTCTTCCGCATCACTCCCGATGGCCAATTATTGCGCATCGAGAATCCCAAAAATGATCTCAATGAGATTCTACCGCATAATTTCCAAGAGCAGCTCGCACAACAAGCGGCCGTGCCCACCGCCGCCTCAACGACTGGGATAACGCCACCAAATCCGCGGCCAGGGCCCACAGCGCCTACGCCCGACGATCAGCCCGACGGCCTGGATGAGGCCATGTTTGCAGCGGCTGCAACGAATTCGGAGCGCAAGGATTCGCTGCGTGGCAACTCTGAGGCCAACGATTGGCGCCGTGTCCTGCTGCTGGGTGAGCCGCCTGTCATCAGCGCTGCCAGCTCCGAGCAGGCCACCGCCAACCAACTGGAGAACAGCATGGACAGCTTCCAGCGAGCACTGGTCGATCTGAGGGATAAGTATGCCTCCCTGATACAGCCACCCACGGTCGATCAGCGATACGCCGTTATTCTATAGACACTAAGTAACACCTGAAGACCTTTATTATAATAAAACCGTACTGATAATTTCTAAAATTACTGTTATTGCAAAATAATTAGGAGAGCCAGTTTAATATTTTCTCAAAAGTGGGAAATACAAATAACCGAGTTCTTATATAAGTATATACTTATTATATAAAAAACAGTTATGGATTTATGAAACTAATCATTTTAATCCGAATTCCGTGTAGTTTACAGCAACCGATAAGATTTAGAAAGTTGTTTGTTCAAAACAAATTAGTACCAAGTCTTAAATATTTAATTTACAATCATGACAATTTAATAGTTCAGATTGACTATAATCAGGGAATCAAGCGTATATAACATACAGCTGCGATAGAATATCATGATAAGCACAAGAAGGAGTGCACTATTTAGAACTGCCCAACTAGAAGATACCCTCTACGCAGCTTCGAACTGCATATGGATTCTATATAAGTATAAGTGTATATAGACAAAATCCAAGCAAGAAAGATCTAGAATCTTCAGGTCTTGTATAAATTCATAAAGCAGAGAAATGTTTTATTAACAAACGATTTTTCCTTTAAGAATATTCATATAGTCTGGATAGATACGATTTGACAGATATGAAGAGAATATAATAATAATATAAAGAAAATTAGTAGATTATAAAATCGTATCGTACATTACAGAATTTTATGAATATATCTCGAAAAAGAGAATATTTTTCCATAAAAAATTGCGTTTGTGAGTTTTTGAACAGTTCTTTCTATGAAGCTAAATGATAAAGTAGCCCTAAACTGATAAATAGTAAAATTCGCCAGTGCCAAGCTTGGTCAGGTTATCTTGAACAACAAAAATGTTTTTTTATGGAAGAACCTAATATATGACGGATCATTTCTATGACAGCCATATGATATGCATAGCGGTTCGATCTGAAAGGCGGACATATGCAAAGTTTCTTGTTGATGGCCCAGAAACAGATCCGATTTAACTAGAATCAGACAAATATACTTGATGACTATTGATCGACTATTGATCTTAACCTTATGTAGTTATACACTTGGCATCCGGTAAGTCTCATACTGCCTGTTAGATTCATTCACAAGAAGTCATTATGTCCAGTTTTACGTATTCTCATATATGTCTTATTCAAGCCCATAACTCTTAAGAAATTAATAAATCGAACAAAAGATCAATGCTGTCAAAAAATTCTACTGCAATTGTCTTTTTCTTTTTAATATAAAAAGTCCCATAATAGAATCAGCCTTTGGAGTGAGGAAGTTCCAAGAACCGATTAACGCCATGTCATGGAAGTCTATTCGTTTTGGAGAACGGGTTTATCTTCTAAAAGTAAGTACTCGTAATATGCTTCTGCGCAAAATCCATATATAATATACATATTTGGGTACACTTTATTTGAAGATAGGAATATATTATCTGCGCCGAAATCCCGTAAGTACAATCAAATCTGAAGCCCAATTTGATGACGTTCATAATACACCCACAGCAATCTTTGAGTATTCACTTAATGATAAGGCGTACGTGAGAATCGTTTGCTATCGCCTCCAAGGAGCACGACTTTTAATTAAAATTAAGGGTCATTCAAGCTGTCAATCAATCACAGGCTTTCTGTCCATCGCCTACGCACGCGGCATAGGCCAACATATGTGGAATGGTGTTCTGCTCGTACACGCCGGTGAAGAGATGAGCCCAAGGACCGGAAGCAAAGACGCCAACATCCTCGCCGCCATGCGTCTCCGACTCCAGTGGAGCTGTGGCCGGGAACAGCTGGGCCGGATCTGGGTCCTCCGCGAACAGCGTCATGAGATCCACACGCTCATGCGTCTGCGTATTGTAATAGGTCTCAAAGCTTTTGCCATTGGCATAGCTCAGGGCCAGATAGGGCTTGCCATCGGTGCCCTTGGACTTGGCCTTGCCAAAGATGTCACTGCCACGCTTCTGGTAGCCGCCTAGGCTGAAGGTGTGCGAATGATCTGATGTAACCACAATCAGGGTGTCCTTCTCGCTGGTCATTTTGCGCGCACGTGCCACAGCCTTGGACAGCTCCGCGGTCTCGTCCAGCGCAATGCGCGCCATGGTATCATGATGGCTGATATCAATTTTACCGCCCTCCACAAACAGGAAGTAGCCATTCTCTTCGGTCTCCAGCATTTCAATCGCCTTCTCTGTCATCTCCTCCAGCGTGGGCTCAGTATTCTCCGGATCGGCCAGCTGCTCGAGATGATAGTGCATATGGCTCTTGGTGAACAGGCCCAACAGGCGATCCGTTTCGGTGGCATTCACCTTCAGCAGCTTCTTGCGGTTCTTCACATAGGTGTTGCGCTCGGACATGGCCTCGAATTCCTCGACCAGATTGCGTCCGTCAGTGCGTCGGCCCTTGTCATAGAACTGGGGATCCATAAAGTTACGTCTGCCGCCGCCGAGCATCACCTTCAGCTTGCTGCCCACCTCGCCATGGATCAGCTGCACCGCAATGTCGTCCAGACCCTTAGCCTGTTCACCGCAAGCCTCTTCAAGCACGGCATTGTTCTCCCATTCACGGTCGGCGGTATGCGCATACACGCCCGACGGCGAGGCATGGGTGACACGTGTGGTGGTCACCAATCCGGCGGCTTTGCCCGCATCCATTGCCCATTTGGCCACAGAGAAGACGTGATTCGTTTGGTTCGCCATGGCCACACAGTCGCCACGCTTGATGTGTGCATTGACGCCGATGGTGCCATAGTTGGCTTTCACGCCGCACAGATACGACGTAGACGTGGACGCCGAGTCAGGCACAATTTTGTCCACACAGTAGGTCTTGGAGAGGCCCGTATAGGGGAACTCCTCAAAGGCGAGCTTCAGCTCCTCACCACCCATGTAACTGCGAGCCGCGGCCAAGGTAGCCAGTCCCATGCCGTCGCCTAGGAAGAGTATAATGTTTTTCGCCCGCTGTGTGTTGCGCACATAGCTCAGCTTCTCCAGAATGTGTTGCTTGCTGGCCGAGAGCCAATATTCGTGTGTTTTCTCTGCCTTGATGCGGGGCTCAGGTGCTGTCCGTGCATTGTCCTCCAGATGAGGGTGCATGCCTTCGTCGTCATCCTCGGGCACCTGACCAGGCACTGCGCCGCCCAGCACGCTTGCCGCCAGGAGCAGCAGCAGCCATAGACCAGTTAAGCAACGTAGTGTCTGCATTTTCAGGTTGTCAGCTCGATAGTCCAGCAACTACTGCACTCGACCGGGCTGAGCGTCAGCTTTATAACCACTGTTGGGGCTATTGTTGTGAAGTGATGATTAGGACGCCTGAGCTTGATTTATTTATGGGTACTTCTTTAGCACAGGTGTCAAATCAGCACTCGATTCTGCGCGATTGGCACTTTAGATTGAACAAATCACAATAACAAATGATATACACTACGGAATAATGGACAGGCCCACTCGTAGGCTATATAACCATGTCTGCCCCACGCTGGCTCAACAGTCTAACGCCAGCTGTTGGACGGCACGAATCCAAGTCGAACCGAGTCGTATCTCCAAATATAAATTTAGCAAAATGACAAAAGGCTTGAAAAGTGCTAATTACCCAGCGTGGTGCATTCTGGCCCTGGCTCTGATGACGTGCCCGGCCTGGGCAGATTTATCCGACGAGCAAGAGAATGGTGAGTAACTCGATCAGATTGAAGGAGAAGAGAACGAACTGCGTGCAGTCAATTCAGCTGGTTTATAGCTAAATTAGGACATAATCAGAGGTTGTCAGAGGGAAACTATTGACATTTTAAAAGGTCAAATGTTCACAAAGCTAAATCAGCTACTTTTTTCAAGCTGCAATTGCAAAATTGCTAAACTAGCTACTTAGTGAACAAAATGGCTACAATATGATCAACAAATATAAGAGAATGATTCAGATACAGCACAGTAAGAACCCCGAATATTCATCGTGAACAACAATGAAAGTGGTCTGAAATATTTCTGCCAATTGATTGGCTTAGTCAAACTAATTAAAATCAAAGACTGATCAATTGTTGTCGAGAACAGTGTGTGAAATATTTTTGCCAATTGAATTCAAAGACTAAACAATTGCTTTTGCAATTCATTATTTGATCCTTTAAAAAAGGCATTTATCATCAAATTTTGGTTTTGACAAATGAGCTAATTCCAGCTAAAAAATAGCTGAGAGCTTGTTAGATGAGAAGTTTATGTATAATCTATACTAGCTGCAATTAAATTATCTATTGGAAAGACCATTGCTTAAGATTATTATGAACAAACAAAATTTATAGCACTTTGAGAACTATAAATTATTGATTAATTTGGTTCATTAGAAAATCGTAGCTATTATCAAACATAACACTTATTAATTATGAATTAGAATAGGTTAATAACCAATCTGATTAGCCCTATCGTTGAGTACATTGTATTATAATCCGCCCAAAACAAGATCCAAACATGAGTACCTCACGTGTTTAGAACATATTAATAACCCATTTGATAGTCCCTATCGCTGAGAACTTTGCTTTATGTCCCCACACAGAACAACATCCACGCATGAGTGCCTCACGTGACTATGTCGAACTGGACGAGGAGCTCAACACACGTTTCTGGCACGATAAGGCCCAGTCTATACTGGCCGATAAGTTGTCGCATCATAAAAAACTCAATGAGAATCGTGCCAAGAATGTGATACTGTTCCTGGGCGATGGGATGTCTGTGCACACGATAGCGGCAACACGTGCCTTCATGGGCGACAGCAGCAAGCAGGTCTCCTTCGAGAAGTTCCCCTACGTGGGCCTCTCCAAGACGTATGCGGTGGATGAGCGCACCCCGGACTCGGCCAGCACGGCGACTGCTTATTTGAGCGGTGTCAAGGGCAACTATGGCACCATTGGCGTGAATGCCCAGGTGAAGCGAGGCGATTGCCTGGCGGGCACCGACAAGAGCACACACACGGAGAGCATTGCACAGTGGGCACAGGAGGCGGGCAAGTGGGCGGGTCTAGTGACAACGGCCAGGGTG